AACAGCACGTCAGGTTATCGGTAGGAATCAAATTTTTTTGAATAATTGAAATCGGTTGAGCCGTGTTCTCGAAATCATCGACGAAAAATTGTATCCGCACCTAAATACATACACACATGCATACTCACACACTCGCATACATACATTTTTTCTAAGGTATGCCAAAACGTTTAGAAAACCTTTTAAAACGTAAAGATATGCAAAAATTTTCATATTCGATTTTTTGCGATTACTATACCATCCTACGGGAAGTTAACAAAAATATTTTACTTTGGTTCTAAATTAGCTTTAACCATTGTGTCAAAAAACGTGTATAGATGGCACGTGCATTTAATGCTTGTGCTTTTATAAAAAATCTTATATAACAAGAAATATAGTTAATAACACTTTAATAAAGAATAATAATATATAAAATATATTTTATTATCAAAAATCCATATTTGTTATTAAATCCATGACAGTTAAAATTATGACAGATATCTGTCAAAATTTTAAATTCAATTGTCATTTCCAGTTACACCCTCGAGATGGCTCTGCGAACAGAATTACTGTTGCACGTGAATGCCAGAAGTTGTAATGTGAGAAGGTAGGTTACTTTATGTAGTGCATGTGAATTTTGTAACAAATCTTAGATAATACATTTTGCATCTGGTTTAATATATATTAATAAAACTTGTACATTGTGTGAATATCGATCAAATAAAATATAATTGTGAATAAAAGTATCTACAAAGTGCAAAGTGATGAATGATACTTGTGAAAATTGTGGAAGGAAGAAAGAGGAAAATTTGTGTAGTGAATAATAAAGGATTTTATGGTGTACTGTAGGTTTCCATGAGTAAGTATTGAATTACAGTACTTGATTTAAGAAGTTTGTAAATATATTTTTAGAACACATTTTTTTTTGGTTATGACCACACCGATCCATATTTTACTTGCAAACTTATTATTTACAATCACTACAGACATAATATTTATGTTAATAAATACCTAAAATGTATATTCCACCATCTGTCAAAATTTTTGGGGTGATCCTTTGAATTAAGTTCAGTGCCCCTTTTTTTTGCACATAACCTAAAATAACACATAACCTTCGGTTATTTTTTTGGCATTGAATTTGCTGTTAATGTATTTAACGCATACGAGATGAATAAATAATAAATTTTTGTCGGAATATATAATTTTTATTCATGGAAAACAAGTTTTGTTACTTAATATGTCGGCACGATGTAAGTTAGGTTAGGTTTTAATAAATTCGAAGGCAATAGAATTTTATGTTAGTCCAAAAATGGTTTATTGTGAATTTTGTATATGTGTTTATATATAGTTTTGATTTCAGAGTACTAAAATAACAATGACAATGCTAAATGTAAGAAAACTATTTCTAAAACTATTTAAAGATATCATGTGCATGCCATGTATTCTGTTTTTTTCTTAACCAAAATTAGATCAAAACTTATTCATGACCATGTCTTGGATTTATTTTAACAAAACCATATATTTAGTTAAAATTATCTAATACATCACCGTTAAATAAAAATTTTGAATTTAGCACAATTTCAAGATCTTTTTTGGTCCAAGAAGAAAATTGTAAATGTTACAAAAGTTATTTAAATAATTTAATTAAAAAATATGAGATCTAGTATACAATTAAGAAGATTATTTCTTTCAAAATGGCAATTATTATAAAAAATTCTATAGTAGTCAATAATTGAAGGTATAAGTTGTTATATTGTTTCAAGATCATTTTTATAGTAAATTCTACATAGATATTTCAGTTCATTAATTAAAAATTGTGAGATCTAGTATATTTTCAAATTGATCATCAATTTTTTTCAAAATGATCCATATTATAAAAAATTCTATAGTGTTTTGAAGAAGATCCTTAGGTCTTTCAAGAAGATCATTATTATAGCAAATCTGGTATATTTTCAAGGAGATCATTATTTTTTCAAAATGATCTATAATATAAAAAATTCTATAGTGTTGAAAAAGATCCTTATGTTTTGTTTGAGAAAATCATTAATGAGCTTTAAAAAATTTTGATCTTCTTGAAAAAATAGTTTATAGAATATACTATAATAATTATCTTCTTGAAGAAAATAATCCTAATAATATACCAGATTTTATAATTTTCATTTGAATAATTTTAATATCTTTTTTTAAAATTCACTATAATAATGAGCTTTTTTAAAAATTATCTTCTTGAAAAAATAATCTGTAGAATATCTTCTTGAGAAAAAAAAATCTTTATAATACACCAGATTTTAAATTTTAAATTTAGCTTAAATATTTTTTTTAAAAAAAATTTACTATAATAATGAGCTTTTTTAAAAAATAACGATCTTCTTGAAAAAATAATCTGTAGAATATACTATAATAATTATCTTCTTGAAGAAAAAAATTCTAATAATGTACCAGATTTTATAATTTTTATTTAATTGATTTTGTAAAATTTACTATAATAATGAGCTTCTTGAAAAAATAATGATCTTGAAAAAACAATAATCTGTAGTATTTACTATAATAATTATCTTCTTAAAGAAAAAATCCTAATAATATACCAGATTTTATAATTTTTATTTAATTTAAATTAATTTTTTTAAATTTACTATAATAATGAGCTTCTTTGAAAAATAATGATCTTCTTGAAAAAATAATATGTAGAATATACCAGATGTTATAATTTTGTTTTGAATCATTTAATTTTTCTTAATTTACTATAGTAATGATTATTATTATAATAATGATTCTTGCTTCATTATTATTAAGTCTTCCTGGACTTGGTTCAAAATGCAGAAATGTTTAAACTTTGCATTATATAAAACGCTTGAAAATTTTCCAATTATTAAAACTAGGTCATAAAGAATCCCATGACTAAAAGAGATGGTTATTCAATAACTAAATTATATCGGTGAAATATTTCACATAAGTATAATAGAAATATATTATAGAAATTCATTTAACTAAAATGTAAGGAGGCTGCAGTAGCTGGAGTCTTAAAGTATTTTTTTAAAGGAGTCTTTGGATTACCAATATATAATTTATATTTCGCATACTTTTCATTTAATGAATTTAAATTAAATATCTACTTCAAAATTTGCTATAATAATGATCTTCTTGAAATACCTAAGGATCTTCTTCAACAATACAGAATTTTTTATAATATAGATCATTTTGAAAAAAGTAATGATCTCCTTGAAAATATACCAGATTTACTATAATAATGATCTTCTCGAAAGACCTAAGGGTCTTTTTCAACACCGTAGAATTTTTTATAATATTGATCATTTTGAAAAAAGTAATGATCACTTTGAAAATATGCTAGATCTCATAATTTTTAATTAATGATTTTTTATTAAGTGATTCAACTAACTTTTGTAAAATTTACAATAATAATTTTCTTCTTGAAACAAAGAAGATCTTGAAATTTTGTTAAACTCATATTTTGTATTTAATGAATTTAAAGATTTACTGTGGAATTTCGCTATGATAATTATCTTGAAAAAATAATGATTTTCTTGATCTACTCAGACTTTCTGAATAATTAATATGTGATAAATGTGTAATAAGATAATGTACTAAATCTCATAATTTTCAATTAAATAATTTAATTGACTGTAGAATTTATTACATTTAAGATCTTTTTAAAATCATACTTTTTAATAAATTAATTTATCTACTGTAGAATTTACAATAATAATATCTTTTTGAAAGAAAAAATGATCTTGAAATTTTACTTAAAGTCATACTTTTTAATTTGTGAATTTAAATATTTTGCGTAGAACTATAACAATGAGCTTCTTGAAAAAATAATTAAAGAATTTAACAATCTTTTGTAGAATTTACTATTATATTGATTTTCTTGAAAGACATAATGATTTTCTTGATAATGATCATAATGATAAATAATGATTATTTTGAAAAAGATCATGTTCTTGATAATATACTAAATCTCACAACTTTTAATTAAAGAATTTAAATGTCTATTGTAGAGATGTACTCTTTAATAATGATCTTCTTGAAAGAAACAATATCTTTTTAAAATTATAATAGAACACACTTTTTAATTGATGAATTTAAATACTATATATATTGCAGAATTTTCTTTAATAATTACCTTCTTGAAAAGAATAATAGCCTCTAAAATTTACTATAATAATGATCTTCTTGAAAAAAAAAAAGATTTTGATATTATACTAGAACTCATAGTTCTTGATTTTTGAATTTAAATATCTACCGAAGAATTTTCTGTAAAAATGCTCTTCTTGATATTATACTAGAACTCATACTTTTAATTTTTTTAATTTAAATTTTAATATCTACTAAAAAGTTTTCTGCAATATTGATCTTTTGAAATAAAAATAATGATCTTCTTGAAATTATACTAGAGATTATACTTTTTAATTAACGAATATATGTGTCTAACTCATTGTTTACTGAAGGAAAGACATAATAATGATAATTCTGAAGGAAATAATGATTTATTTCTTGAAATTATACTAGAACTCATACTTTTTAATTATTGAAATTAAATATTCGCTGCAGAATGTACTATAATAATGATCTTCTTGAAATAAAAATAATGTTCTTCTTGAAATTATACTAGAACTCATAGTTTTAATAAATGAATTTAAATGTCTCTTAAATAATTCATTATAATCATGATCTTCTTTTGAAATAATGATCTTTTAGAAATTATACTAGAAAAGCATTCTTCTTAATAAGTGAATAAGTAAAAATCACTCTGACATGAACTAAAAATTATAAAAGCACATTTTTAAAATTTGGTTTTTTATTTCATCTTTCAACTTTTTTTTTACCTTTTTCAATTAGATAACAAATTATTTGAAAATTTTGCTCAAAAACTTTAAATATTTAATAAATATTTTCTAATACCTGTTTCTTTAATACAAATTTTAATATCTGTATTTTGCATAGTGCTTTTCAATTTAAGTTGTTATAATTATAATTGTACTTGGCACCGAAATAATTTCTGTTTTATTATATTTTCAAACAAAACTCTGATGCTCTTGTGGTCTTCATTATTTTAATTATGGAGGTCTAAATTTAGAAGGTCCTAAGTGATTTTAAAATAATACTTCAGAAAAAAATATAAATGTACTTGAGTTCATACAATTTTAATAAATATATGTGAAAATTAAAATTATAAAATTAAAATTGATTTAGTAAAAATATGATAAAATACGTACTACTAACTTAATTAATAAAAAGAAATCAATTTAGGAATTTATGTATATTTAGTGCTATGTATATTACATTTAGTATAATTCGTACACATTTTTTTATTTAAAATGTCTTTATTAGAAATTTTGTAAAAATATGGATTTTACAAAATGTGCTGTTTTTTATTTGTTTGTTTGTTTGAGAAGACTTATTTATTCAATAATTTATTACATAGAGGAAATGTGAGTAATTAGGATTTTGTACATGTATCTTATGATAATAATACAATTCAAATTCGTGCCTTAAGGCAAATTGCTGGAACTTCTCGTACCAAAAATTATTTTTTTTTAAAAGATTAACATTTTTGAACAAATTTTACTCTGAAAAAAT